CACACACACACACACACACACACACACACACACACACACACAACACCACACACACACCAACATAAATTCATTACCTCACATTTCTGGTGGCCAGAAATACAAAGTTGAGATGTGGGCCAAGCTGTACTCTCTCTGAGAATGGGAAGGGAGGACCTTTGCTTGTCTCTCCCAAATTCTGATGCTAGAAGGCAGCTGCATCACTCCAATTTCTTACCTGTGGTCACATGGCCTTCTCCCCTGTCTCTGCACATCTGCATCCTCTGTTCTTTATAATGTCATTGGTTAAGGTGCCATCATAATCTAGTGTGACTGGCACTGTTTCCTCTTGTTCATTCCCTGTCCCCATCTCACTCTACCACCCCTCCCCTGCCAGGTGTACCAACATCTTAAACAGCAATGGTGAACTCCGAGGATTCCGTCCTCGGGACCGGGATGACATGGTGAAGAAGATCATTGAGCCTATGGCTTGTGATGGCCTCCGCACCATCTGCATTGCCTACAGGGACTTCTCTGCAAACCAGGAGCCTGACTGGGACAATGAGAATGACGTGGTGGGCGATCTCACCTGCATAGCTGTCGTGGGCATCGAGGATCCTGTACGACCTGAGGTAGCTGCCCCTTTTCTGGAAGCTGCTCTAGTGACTATTCCCCATGTTCAAGGTTGTCCAATAGGTGACAAGGTGGCTTTTTCCACACTGGACCTCCACACTAGAGGCTTGGGACACAAGCAGACATGGTGAGAGCCACTTTCTCCTCACTTTCCAAGATGTCACACCTCTTCCTGCCCTATGTATAGATAGAGCAGCCTGGAAAACAGTGACTTGGGATCACTCAAGGTCATGGGACCTTCCTCAGTGCTTTTGATCCCCTTGCCAAGCCCTCTTGTTCTTGACCTATGGGAGTTCTGTGGGCCTGCCTGGCCCCTGGGCAAGGCTCACACTCGACTTCTACCAGGTATAAAAGAAGATTCTGGGTGTCTGCAGGACCAGTGGACTGAAGGAGGATATGGGGGAAACTGAGGAGCTAGACACAGCTGAACTGGGTGGATATTGGTTTGGGGATATGGTGGGCAGTTGTCAGTCAAGAGCTTGATTGTGTCTGAATGAGATTCAGGACACACACATGGAGATGTCAAGTAGACATATAGGTGTGGGAATGGAAAACTTAGAGCATAAGTTCTGACTGAAAAGAAATCCCAGAAGCATCTTCCTATGCATGATGATATCACTGAGGGTAGCTTCCAATGATAGAGGCCAGATTTGGGGGGTAGGATGGATCTCAAGGGTCATATGGGTGAAGCAAGCACAGAATGAAAAAGGACAAGTCTGCCTATTGATGGCCTTGACATTGGGAGGTCACTGAAGCCTTTGACCTGAACACATGTGATGGTTGTATTTGTTGTTCTTTATGGATGTGTTATTCTTGTGAGTGGATACCCAAAAGTGTGAAAGGGCCCTCTACCTTCCCAGCCCTTTCTGTTGGTATACATTTCATGTTAGACTACCTTGATCCTGCCCATTAACCTGAAAGCACATATCTGTGGGAACTGCCCTGGAGCTTTGGGTATGACAGGGAAGGAGAATTTTTTGCATACAGGGTCACAAAACAAAGGCTCTCTGTTCCAAAGTGAATACTCCCATGTCTAAAGAATGGCCATGGGTCACTGTCAACCATATATCCCTGTACTCAGTTGGAGATGGAGTAAGAAATGTAATGAGCACAACAGGCCTAGCCTGGGCTGGCAGCAGAGTGAGCCCAGGGCCAGCTGTACAGTAATAATTTTGAAAGTTTACACCTCAGAAAATGTGAAACACAGACAAGTGTTAAGATGTATACATGTGTTAAGAAAGATATAACCATGACCCAACCTCAAAGGGTACCATGGGGGGGGGGGTCGGGGTAGAAGCTCAGAACAGCAAGAACGTATCTCAGTTTGGGTGGTAACAGAGGGGTTCATGGAACAAGGGTAGCTCCTTTGTGGTTTAAAGTGGCTGAGAGGGAGTTCAGCAATAATGTTAATAGAGAGACCAGATATCAGGCCCTGGCTCTGGGGCAAACACTAGGGATCCAGCAAAACCTCCATGGATCGTAGTCAAACTTGCTGGGCACTGGAAAGCACAGGATGGCCACCAGAGGGGAGCAGAGAGCTGTGTCCACAGAACTCTAGCAGATGAATGCTCAGGTGGACCTGGAAACTTCTACAGACATCTGCTCCCTGCTGTGCTGTGAGCCTTGAGGAGAAAATAGGGAACAGGTCAAAGCAGACAAGGAAAGAACAATCTTTCCTACAAGAAAGAGTATCCTCTGGAGGTGGTGTTCCTGCCACCTGGCTAGGAGGCTGAGAGCTTAGAGACTGCATGTGTGGGTGGGCCTTGGAGTAGTGGCTGCTCCCGGACCCTGGGGTGACCCTGTCCAAAGCTCCCAGTTTTCAGATTCATCGTGGCCACCTGGCAGCAGCAGAGAAGAAGGCTTCCAGCCATTTTGGAAAATGAAGCTGCAGAGCCGCCGCCTCACCCCCTGCTTGAGAGGAAGTTCTCTGTACTCAAGGTCTTATGTGGCACCTTAAGACCCTAAGAGAACAGAATGTGGCCTTGAGAGTGAGCGTAAGGAGAGAGAGAGAGAGAGAGAGAGAGAGACAGAGACAGAGACAGAGACAGAGACAGAGACAGAGACAGAGACAGAGAGTTTGGGGGCAGGTGAGAGAGCTACCACAATTAGACTCTGCCCAAGGCATGTCCTTCGCTGTCACTTAACAGTTCTGGTTTGATTATCAGATTCCTATCAAAGCCTTAAGTAGGGACCACTCTGTTCTTGCCTGGCACCCTCTACTTCCTTCCTGATTTCCCCCAAAACTTCTCTGTCCCTCTGTGCCCACCCTGCCTGCTCTAGCCTCCCTACTTCAGAAGACTAGGCCAAATCTAGATACCTCCTACATTCTTTCCCCCTCGGGTCCAGCAGCTGGCCCACCACTGTGCACAGGGTACTCACCAAGAAATTCAAAGACCTAGGCCTCTCTTCACTCAACTCTTCAAACTCTGAGCTGGCCTTCCTCCATCTTGCCTGTTTGTCCCTTCTGCGGCCCCAGGGCCTAAAGGGCCACACATATCATGTGTTTGGAAACTGTCCTTTTCCATCTGCCCACTACTGGGATGATGCTACAATGCCCAGGCTGGTCTCATGGCTTCCCACCCTCTTGTCCTGTTTTCTGCTTTGTGCTAAGGGTTTTCTTTCTTCTTCTTTAGTTCTAGAACCTACTATGTCATTTGAAAGAGAAATGCATTCATTCTAACCCCAAGTAATGCCCTACTTTCTCTAGTGAGCACATTATGTAAAACCTATAGCTGAGACAAAGATTACTTCCTGAGGAAAATGATTGAGTTCTATGCTGAAAAACAAAAACAAACTAGACAAGAGAGGGAGAAGCCCAACATAGCTAGGTCTAACTCACTACTCATTCCTGTGCCAGCCACAGTGAAGGAGATGCCAGGGACAGTGGGCTAGGGGTCTGGGGAGGGTACCTGCCCACTGCAGGCCATCCTCTGAACTCCTTCACACCACATTCCAGAGACCCTGCACTGGAACAATAGGCTTCACTATACTTCCAGATTTGCTGGGACTTATGATTCTGTACCAGACACAAAATATGGGCTTGTCTTGCCAGCCCCTCCTACCATTTTTATATCTCCCAGGTCCCTGAAGCCATTCGCAAATGCCAGCGTGCTGGCATCACAGTCCGTATGGTGACTGGAGACAACATCAACACTGCCCGGGCTATTGCAGCTAAATGTGGCATCATCCACCCAGGTGAAGACTTCCTGTGCCTGGAAGGAAAGGAATTCAACAGAAGGATTCGAAACGAGAAAGGCGAGGTAGCTCCCTGCATCTCTGTCCCGGGATGCTGCTTCTTCCATCCCTCTGCTATCTTCTCATCCCTCCCAGCCATGGTGCCTAGACTCTGAGGTCTCCATTATTTCCTCCAGATAGAACAGGAGCGGCTGGACAAGGTGTGGCCCAAGCTGCGGGTGCTCGCCCGATCATCACCCACTGACAAACACACTCTGGTCAAAGGTAACCAAATGTGTTCATCCTCTTCAACATGTACTTGCCTCTGGCATCCCTGCATGTTGTCACCTGCTCTTAGATTCTTGAATGGAAGATTCTAGAGACCATTGACTAGAAAACATCAAACTAATAATGGCTTGTAGAAGCTGCCCCCTCACTGGAAAAAACGGGGAACTAAGGCTGGGACAGGGAAACAATCATCCAATGCACACAATGTGGGACCTTCTCCTCTACCACTATGTTACTGAGACTATGTTACTGAGCAAAGGACCTTGGTGGAAATAGGGGGATGAAGTTATCCCATTTAAGCCTGAGGACTTGATCCCATAAGTGACCAGGAGTACAGAAGCAGCCCATATCAACCTTTGGCAGATAGCTTCAACCCTACCTTAACCCACTCTGTGTTCTAGGCATTATCGACAGCACAACCGGTGAGCAGCGGCAGGTGGTGGCCGTGACTGGGGATGGCACCAATGATGGGCCAGCTCTCAAAAAGGCAGATGTGGGCTTCGCCATGGTAAGCCACCTAGTGCCATACCAGTTCATCACACAGATGAAATCCTGTTTCTCCTGGACCTAACTTTTGACCAGAAAGTGGAGAGCCAGTGTCAGTGCAGGTGACAGACTGCTAGAAGCTTCCTTCTCTCACATCTTGACCACTTGGGGCTGTATGGGCTCTGACCATTAACAAATGTATATGTGTTTTGTTTAGAGACATTTGGTGTGAAGTCATCAGAGGTGACAGTAGAGCCCAACTGCACCACTGAAGAAAGGGATAAATGTTGACCAGCAGCTTGTCAACAATGACATCTGCCCACCATCACCTATTCTCAGTCCACTCCGAGAAGCCCCTAGCCCCAAGAGTGATGAGCAGAGACCACAGTGGACTCTTCCTCTGGCTTCTCTCTTTCTTTTCATACAGATCTAGCTCTTCTTACTGAGCAAGGTGGCCTTCTAGGCCTTCTAGGCATTGCCCATGTGGTGAGCTCTGTCCCCAACTCACAGTGGCTAGCAGCCTAGTGTCACCTTTCCCCATCCTAGCAGAAAGGAGGACCTTTCACTCAGTCTATATTTGGTTCAGTGGTGGGGTGAGGAAGTATAGCATTCCTAGACCTCACAACCTGGAGTAGAGAGCAAGCTGAGCTTCCCAAGGTGGCTGGTGTCACAAGGCCAGGTCCAAGATGGAGTGAGTGAGGGCTACAACAGACCTGATGTCTATTGCTTGTGCCCAGGCTTGTGTGGTAGAGCAGCAAGAATCTCCCAAGCAGCCAGGGGATGGGTCCTTTACCCTACCCAGACAGATAGCCCACATTTCTCAGGGCTTCTTCAGGTAGCCAGACAAAGGACTGGTGAGTAGCCACCCAGTGGCAGCTGGGCCTTGTGGAAGGCTGTACAGATGGCCATGTTGTTAGCAATTGTGTTGTTTAGCAGCAAAGGCCACCTCACAGCCACATGTGGCAACATGCAGTTTGCGGCATAGAATGTTTTAGATTAAAACAAGTGCTGTTCAATTAAGGCTTTATTTGGAAGAGAAAGGCAGGGGACCATCCCAGGTGGGCTGGGTGGCCAAGGAGGGGTTGAGAAATGAGCACTGTGCCTGTGTACCATCCTCCAGGGCATTGCAGGCACTGATGTGGCCAAGGAGGCCTCTGACATCATCCTGACCGATGACAACTTCACCAGCATTGTCAAAGCGGTCATGTGGGGTCGCAATGTCTACGACAGCATCTCGAAGTTTCTGCAGTTTCAGTTGACAGTCAACGTGGTGGCTGTGATCGTGGCCTTCACGGGTGCCTGCATCACTCAGGTGGGCACCAGGGGCCTACAGGAGGCAGTTGGTTTCTAAGAGCAGTAATGTGGGTTCAAGAGGGCTATGTTGACAGCAAATATTTTGTTTGCTTCAGATTCTTTTTATTGAAATCAAACTCACATACCAAAAATCTTATCTGTTCAAGGTAGATGTTTAGTAGATTTTTTAGTATATTCTTTCTGCCTGGATTTATTTGCTTATTGTAGATAATTTGTGTCAGTGGAGTGAAATGACATGTGGCCTTTTGGGGTTTGTTTTTACAGTTTTTGCAAAGGGGAGAGGGGCACATATATATGCTACAGTGCACATGTGGAGGCCAGAGGAAAACTTGTATGAATAAATTTTCTCCTTCCACCATGTGGGTCCCAGGGAACTGAACTCAGGCCATTATGTTTATGCCTTTATCCACTGTGCCAATTTGAAGATTTGACATATGGCCTTTGCACCCCGCATCTCATGTGGCATGTTTTCAGGATTCATCTATGTTGCAGCTTAGACCAATGCTTTATTCATTTTCATAGCTGCACAATAGTCCAATAAGCCCCATTTTGTTTGTCATTCATCAGCTGACCAAGCTTTGGGCCACTTCCATTTCATTGCATTGTGAGTAGTGCTGCTAGGAACACTCATGTCCAAGTTTCAATGTGCATATGTCTTCTACTCTCTTGGGTCTAGATCTAGGAGTAGAATGACTGAGTCACAGAGAAACTCTAGATTTCCTCTTTATCAATGCTTTCATCCTTCCCATTGGTTGGAGGCCAGAATTTATTGATTTCTTGTTAGTGATGGTTGACTTTATTGTCAAAAAGTAGTTAACTATTTTTGGTAATTATCTTGGTCCTTTCAAGCGTGTGTGTGTGTGTGTGTGTGTTGGCAAGGTGTACATACACCTGTATTCATGTTCATGTAGAGATCAGAGGTAAACCTCTGGTGTTCCTTGGTAGCTTTCCACATTGTTTTTTGAGAGACAGACTTTCAATAGGACCCGAGCCTCACTGATTAGGTCAGGCTAGCTAGGCAGCAAGTCTTACAGATCCTCACATCTTCATCTTCCCGTCACTGAGATTACAAATTCACACCACCATGCCAAGCTTTTTTGATGCAGACTCTAGAGGTTGAGCTTAGGTTTTCATGCTTGTAAGGCAAACACTTTACTGAGTTAACTCCCCAGCCCCTCAGGTACTTTTTCTTGATATCTAAGTCAAGTATAAATGATATCATAATCACCATCCTAGCCATCTGAAAGTGCAGAATCCCAGACCTTGGCATATTCAGTGTTGTATAACCATCACCTTGATTTACTCTCAGAATATTCTCATGGTCCCCAGAGGATACCTCCCACCCATTAGCACATTAGCAGCCACTCCTCATTGCCTCCCCAACCTTTTAAACACTCATCTGCTTTCTCTGTATGTGAATTTCTCAGTTCATTTGATTTCATTCACTCACTCATCATGGTGCTGTACATTCAGATCCTATGAAAGTGATTTTTTCCATTTTTTCTTTTTCTTTTTCTTTTTCTTTCTTTCTTTCTTTCTTTCTTTCTTTCTTTCTTTCTTTCTTTCTTTCTTTTTTTTTTTGAGACAGGGTTTCTCCATGTAGTTTTGGTGCCTGTGCTGGATCTCACTGTAGACCAGGCTGGCCTACAAACCCACAGAGATCCACCTGGCTCTGCCTCCCGAGTGCTGGGATTAAAGGTGTGCACCACTGCCACCCAGCAAAGCTGATTTTTAAAGAGACACTCAGTGGGGATGATGAGAAAGCAGATTAGGGTCAACATTTCTGCCTCTTCCTGCCCTGTGAGGTGAGAGACTCTGGTTTCAAAGGCAGGCTGACCAGACCTTTGAGATCACTGCCACCAGACAAGAAGAAGGGGAGGTAAGTGGAAATTAGAAAGCCCAGTGGAAAACATCTGCAAGCCTGAGGAAACGTGTGTGACAGGCTTCTGGGAGTGAGATTCCCAGATCTCATTGGCATGATATTCGCAAAGCTGAGCTTCTCAATAGTGGCAGGCTTTCATATCATACCATCCCAGGGTTTCTCTGTGTGATCCTGCATGGCCAGCACATAGAAAGGTAACTGCTCCCTCTCTGCAGGACTCTCCTCTCAAAGCTGTGCAGATGTTGTGGGTGAACTTGATCATGGACACATTTGCCTCACTTGCCCTGGCAACGGAGCCCCCAACTGAGTCACTGCTGCTGCGGAAGCCATATGGCCGGGACAAACCTCTCATCTCACGTACCATGATGAAGAACATCCTTGGCCATGCAGTCTATCAGCTCACCATTATCTTTACCTTGCTTTTTGTTGGTAAGTTGGACCTAAGGCACACACTTCAGCCCATATACAAGGTTTTCAATACACTGTTGTTGTGGCCTCATGTGGTGATATTGTGTTCCCCAAAATATTGTGCACCCTAATAAATTTATCTGGGGTCAGAGAACAGGACAGCCACAATATTAAACATAGAGGATAGGCAGTGATAGCACACACCTTTAATACTAGCATTCCAGAGGCAGAGATCTACCTGGATCTCTGTGTGTTCAAGGATACAACCAAGCATGGTGACTCACACCTTTAATCCCAAGAAGTGAGCCTTTAATCCCAGGGAGTGATGGCAGAAAGCAGAAAGGTATATAAGGCATGAGGACCAGGAACTAGAGGGGGTTAAGCTTTTGGCCTGGTTAAGCTTTTAGGCTTTTGAGCAACAGTTCAGCTGAGATTCATTCTGGATGAGGACTCAGAGGCATCCAGTCTAAGGAAACAGGATCAGCTGAGGAACTGGCAAGGTGAGGTGGCTTTGGCTTGTTCTGTCTGTAACCTCAGTCTGGCACAGGATGGGATACATCACTTACAGACAGAAAAGAACAGGCCTGCTCTATACCTTTGACCCATACCTTCCTGCTTCACCATGTGCCCTACTGCACATCTCTGAGGCAGATATGGTGAAGGAGAGTGGCCACTGGTGCTAAGAGATCTCCCTCCTCAGCCCCTGCCTCTCTCTTCCCTTCAGGAGAGCTCTTCTTTGACATTGATAGTGGAAGGAACGCACCCCTGCACTCGCCACCCTCAGAGCACTATACCATCATTTTTAACACCTTCGTCATGATGCAGCTTTTCAATGAGATCAATGCTCGCAAGATTCATGGTGAGAGGAATGTCTTCGATGGCATCTTCAGCAACCCCATCTTCTGTACCATTGTCCTGGGCACCTTTGGAATTCAGGTAGGCCATGAAGGTGTAGGGGCACTGATGTTGGCCTCCCTGTCCCCAAATCTCGTCTGTGTTCTAGAGCAGGTGTTCGTCATCTTCCAAACATTGCTGGGCTAATTTTGGTCTAATCTACTAGCTTCCAAAGGTCGATGGAAGGCCTTTATCTTCCCATCCTGCTCACATGGTTGCTAGAAATAGTCTTCCCTGACTCTCTCTGGGTCAACCATCTCCATTTCTAGCACCTAATTCCTTGGTGTTCTATAACTATAGATTCTTTAAGAAATGCTCATCGTGCACATGGTTGACATGTTAAACTTTGGCTGCCACAACACTGTGGGCAGGTTGGCAAGCTGGCAAGTTCAGCTCCCACAGGTGGGGCTGAATGCTCTAAAGTATAGTGTGTTCAAACAAAATTTCACTTATAGTAAGTCCCACAAATCAGGAAATGGCTGTCATACAAATGCAGTTCACCGTTCACAGATCCCAAGAAGAGGGGCACATCATACCTTGGTGGCCACCCACAAATGCCAATAAGGAACTAATGAGAGGGGAATTTTATTGTGGCTTCCCAGGACCCAATGAATGAGAGGGTCAACAGATTTCATCTTGGCTAGCATAAATCATTTTAACCCACCACAGGGTATAGACTGGCCCTGGTTGCCTGGAAACTGGCTCTGAGGTAGATTGGGTTATACACTATGAATTGGTTAGTTAGCATTTAAAAATAATGTCCTTGGGTGTAGGACTTCTCCTAAAGTAGACAGAAAGGAAGGCAGGAGGCCAAGGCAGGGTGACCCATACTATAGGGTCATGCAGAGCAGGCAAATAAGAAAACAGCGTTGCTGAAGCTGGAAAGATAGTCCAAACTTCTGAGTCTCACCTGGAGGCTGGAGGCACCAGATGTTAGGTGGGTTTGGGTGTCAGCATGTGAAGCTACACATTGACCCATCCTGGTATCCTTGGCCTGTGGGCAGCTAGTCTGTGGGAACCATCTTTAGGCATTTATTGATGGACAAAACAGGGGAAGAGCTGATAAGGAATGCCAAGGCATTTCCCAGAGTCTACCAAAAAGTCAGGAAGCCAAAAAACATTTGCCTATGGCCAGGCTGGTCTGGCTCCCAGAAGGCAAAGTCAATCTGGAAGAAAAGGTTTGTAGAGGGCTGAGCAGAACACAGAAAAGTCAAGAGCTACCCTGGTAATACACTTCTCCTCTGCCCACCACTTTCCATTCCTTCCCCCAGATTGTCATCGTCCAGTTTGGTGGAAAGCCCTTCAGCTGTTCCCCACTGTCCACAGAACAGTGGCTCTGGTGCCTATTTGTTGGTGTTGGGGAGCTGGTCTGGGGACAGGTGAGTGTCTGCCTCATCAGCTTTCTTACCAATGCTTTCATTCTGGTTGCTTCTGTTCATGGCCTTCAGAGTGGGTAAGAAGCCAAACATCCTGTCCCACTTACGCCTCCCCCTATCCTTACTCCCTGCCCCAAAACCTTGGAGCCTATGACCTGGGAAGTGTATGGTGTGTACTCAGGCTCAGGCCTATGACATACTATAACCTGGGGGCAAGGTCACAAGTGACAACCTCAGGAATGAGAACACAGAGCAGAAATGTCACACTGTTCTGGGAAATAATCCAGTTTCCTTCCCCATAGTAGAAGCTAAAAATTGCCTGCTAAACCTGTAAATTTGGGGGACTGCAGTGTGTCTGGGTATAGAGCATTTACTTAGCTTTCGTAAAGTCCTGGGTTCTATCCCCAGCAGTGCAAAAAAACAAGACAGAAGGCAGGCCAGCCTGTGAAGTTTGGGATGTCCCAATGTATTTGAAATTAAACACCCTGCTATGGAATCTGTGAAGCAAAGAGAGCTTGAGAAAAATGAGGTGTTTTGACTAAATGGAAAGTGGCAGGACAACACTTGCAGACCTGAAAGTCTCAGCCGCCCCCAAAGGAGCAGTTTGTAGCACCCAATGATGAGATCAGGAAGTAACATCTTGGGTGTCAGCAGCCAGTACAATCTTAGGCACCAAGCCAGGCCCCTCCATGGTTCACTGAAAGCATTTTCTCCCGAGTTCAGGAACACTGCTATGGGAAGCCACATCCAGGATCTTCTTCTCTTTGGGTCTTGATCAGCCCAGGCTGCTGCAGCAAACTACTAAAGACAGGCAGGTCACATGGAAAGCACGTATTTTCTCACAGCTCTAGAAGCTTGACATCTAAGATCAAGGGCAGCCAATTCAGTGTCTGGTAGGGGTACCTTCCTGACTTCTGGCTAGCTACTTTCTTACAGTGTGTTCCTAGGGAGTTCTCGGGTATCTCCTCTCATAAGGGCACAAATCTGGTGGGATCAGGGCTCCAACCAAATGACTTCATTTAACCTCTATTATCTTCCTTCTCCAAATACTTCCAAACTGATGGTTAGGGCTTACCACTAGGGGGTAAGGGGGTACCATTTAGGTTATAACACTATGAATTTTGTTTCTTTATCCATTGGTGTGTGTCCCCTACAATGCTAGCCACAGAGACCACTTGACTATGGCAGATGCTAGCCTCTGCTGGCCCCTGGCATTAATCAGAGACAACTCACACAGTTTTTCCATCTCATTTTTAGAAATCTCTTTTTTTCCATCACTGCACCTCCCTCCCTCCTGTAACACTTAAGCCTGACAGTCCAATGGAGTCCCTTCATGTTCTGCAGTCTAGACTCCATATATGCCACTCTGCCCTGCCTGTGCCAGCCTCTAGTTAATGTTTGAACTCCCTGATGTAATAGCCACTGCAATTCTCCCCTGGATACATGCTGCCTGCCTGTAGCTCAGGGTATTTTTAATTATAAAAATAATACACATTCAAAGTGAAAAAACTAAGGAAAAAGGAATCTCTATGAAGAACCTTAAAGCCACTCCTGTCATGCTGACAGAAACCTAAGAGGAACAGGATGACCTATCATCCTCTACCCAGACAGTGAAAGGCACATCCCAGCCTTCCCTTCTTGTCACCTCTTCCTCCCCCGAAGCCCCTGATCACAAGCCCTTTTCTAAGTGCTTTCTCCAGAAAATGCCAGGCACAAGTGCAGCAGGAATCTTTTTGTTTTGTTTTGTTTTGTTTTGTTTTTTGTTTGTTTGTTTGTTTGTTTTTTTTTTTTT